TGAATGTGAATCAGAATTCAGTCGGTTTTTTGGAGTGTGGTTGCAGGTAGGCATGCTGAGGTTTTCTTTACCGTGTTCAGCATCCAGCAATTCAATGTAGAGCGGCCAATATCCATATTTCTGCTGCCCTTTACTGCAAACGCAGTTAAGTCAAAACACTAGGCCGCACGGAACGAAGAATATGAAACGTATAGTGGTCGGAAAAAGAGTGCTCGAGAAGACCTAGGGCTTTTTCCGAAATCCGCACTGCTACTGGACTTCAAAATATAATGTTTCATGAAGCTGAAAAGAAGTCAGTCTGTCATTGCTCATTTAACCATTTAACCAATGCATCCCAGACACTGAAACAACCTCCCGATGCTGTACAACTGGGCACTGTCCAGACTACAGCAGGAGGATTGTCCTACGATATCCGTTCATGGGGTATTTTCGTAAACATATGGGACGCCAGCTACTGGTGTCCACAACCGCTATCGCGTCAACGTTACCATGGTTGGCTCTGGTCTGATTCAGTATGCGGATGAAAATTGTGCTATGAGATGCTGATAGCTTTGGTCCTTTCCACTGACGAATGCATGAAACCTGTATTCGCGCTTTGTGCGTTCAAGTAATGGGACCTCTGGGTGCTCTGGTGACCGAGACCAATGATTGGCCTTTGTGGAGTACACAGTGCAGTGGTTTCGGTTGCGGGCACCTGCAATGAGTCAGCTAATCCTGCTAACCTTTTAAGACAGTTGATATATAGTTACTATACATGCATATCTGTGCCCGGTAGACACCGGCATTCTCTATTGGTTAACAATCCGAATCAAACATGTATGTAGGGTGTTTGTGCATGAATTGCAGAATTTACCATTTTGTTGATTGGTCAGCTCATTTCTAATTAAACAAGTTACACCACACACTACCCATCAGCCATGCATTTAACTAACCTGCGCTTGTTTTCTGATTCTACACTTGTTCTTCACTCGTTCAGCTCTCAATTCAGACTGAGTGGCCAAACATTACAGTGATTTTAAAACCGAACAGTAGCATCTGCGTGGTACATCAGCTCGTTGCGTCATTGCATTTGGATGCTTTTTTGAGCCAAGCTGTGACATGCGTCGGTTCATTTGACGGCGTGAACAAATTGTGGTGTTTGACCCCAGAAACAGTTCACTGCCTATCTGTATTCTTACGAATTGTGGATGTACTCTAGGATTTGTAAAATCCGAAGCCCACGCGACAAAGTAAGAATAAACGATCACGCGAGTTAACTTCAGCTGGTCCTGGAATAAGCATTACTACATGCCCTAAGTCTGGAACAGAGTTGTGTATTACTGTAAGGAATTCGGCTGCGTAGTACGATGTCTGTTTGTTTGAGCTGGAATCCTGTGTTGCTAAAGCTAGTGGAACTTTTGGTAAACACGAGCAATGAGTAGAAGGCAGACTAAAGCTCGGAGACTTTTGGTAGAGCAATGAGTAGAAGGCAGACTAAAGCTCGGAGTTGGAGAGATGTGAACCTGTACGTTCTCTTGTACGGTATTGAAATCATGACCAGTACCTAAGAAAACCTCATGAATATTTGAGAATAACTGGGCTGAAACCTTGTCACAGATCCAAGGTTATCCAGTAAGCATGTCGTGGCGTAGTAAGAGCTGTGGTTTCGTATAACTCTCTATGGCTGTTGAGACGTTTCTCAGGCAAAGGAAAACAGGGTCATGGGGCAACCTCTGTATGTCCAAATTAAGTCCAGGGAACGCAACCGCGGACTGTCGATACTTGAACTTTGTTCGAAGGTCCGAATGCTACAAGCATAGTTCCGTTGAAGTGAGAAGCGAAAAAGAAAACAGGACTGGACGGGTCATGCTGTCCATAAGTCGGCATTTTGAAGATGGAGGAGACTGAAGCTTACAACACGTACAAGTAAACTTAGCGACAGACCTATAGTGGTTGTGGTCCTGATTACGCTACTGCAGTTGGATTTTCTGTCCATCAGCAGTGATTCGCTGTCGGATAAATGAGGTTATCATACCGTGTGACCTGATTGAAGATTTTCAGTAATTGGGGTCATGGGTCCACCAAAAGCAAACGCCATCGAGCTCAAGTGTCTTGTTATCTCCTTGTGTAACTGTGAGCTACATGTCTTAGCAAGCTGAGGACTTTGGTGTTTCATGCTTTCGATGGTGCTCGCCATGCTCTTTCGGGTCCAAGTTCACATAAACGAAGACAGATCGAACGACCACAGGACCACGACCTTGCTAAAAGTGACTGTTTTGATCCACCACCTCACAAATAAGCGGCCAACTCCGACTAGTCCCATTTGGGTGCATCGGACATATCTTATGATTGATCTGGGTCACCGACTGATACACTGGAATCCTTCTTTTTAATTATACTCACCAGATCTGAGCATCATGAGTCGTCGGCTGGGTATGGTGTTCGCTCTCTGATCTTATTCCATCGAGTTTACATCGGATAGAGCCCATTACACATGCGGTTCATAAAAATTCACATATAAAATTACGTATTATGCACTGACGTTCATCGGCATAGTTGAATAGGACAGGCAGATGTGAAAATACCTTTAAATTCATTGTCAATATTTTGGAAGGTACCCGTCATTTACACTTGTGTTCATATGGATGGTCGTAATTTTTTGGCACTTGTGCCCAAAAGGCTGATCGACTACCTTGTTGGTTTGTTGCAATGGTCCATCATTTTGCCTGGAAACATGGAAGAACCTCCTATTTTCAACCTTGAGTATTAGAGACTATGTTTGAATCCTGTAACCGCTATTATTTGAAACGTTCTGCGGAAAATGCAATCATATTTCTGTTTGACGTTACGCAAATGGTAACTTCGAAATACGCAGACTCAGCCCATAACCATCATTGATGGTGCCTCATTGTCGCATGTCCATGTCAATTTATTTGAAGCCTCGTAGTTGGGAGAAACTGTCACAAAAAGACTGGACCTTAACGTGCTGTGACAGTTCGCGTATCTTACTGACTATTGAGCTATACTGGGGGGGTGTCCCCACGACACTCCTACCAGGTTGACAAATAGTTTCCTGGTCCTCCAAGTTGGGGGCCGGAACATGTGGCGACTTGTTCCGTATAAGTGGTAATGCATTTGCATTTCTCGGCAAACACCGCTGCATTGCGGTTAGGCTTTTGACCTGAAGACTTTGGTTGAGGGCCATAATCGTTCCCCTGTCTAGGTGTGGTATCCCAGTCCACATGGCAGTGAAGCATCGGTGTTGAATACTGATGTCATGCTGTCGATGATGATCATGATAATGAGTGGAGAGAAGAGCAAAAGGGGTGGGGGATGGACTTAGGGTTTGTCTACCACAAACACCCGAGGTGCATGCAAATCTACCACTCTGGACAGAAACTGACAACATGAGCACCACTGACATCAGTTAACAGCCATGTCTCCTAATGTCTACAGCCAAGAGCAGGAAGGACCACGTGGACCCCATCCCGTAGGTTGAACAGTTCAGATAGCACCCAAGCGCAGTCCAGTACCAATGTAATATTATACATTCAAAACTAATGAACGAAGATGACATCAGGCAGCTATTAGGCGATGCATGTATTTAGTCTGCGGGAATTACCTTGAGCACACCCACGTCGCATAGGTTTCCAATTCAAGTTGGGGTTTACTTCAATATGTGGGAGAGCCAAACTACTCAGGTAAAGGTGATGATTTGCGTAAACAGAGTGCGTTTATTGTTCTGAAAGTTAAAAATGAATTGACATAACATAACACAATTTACAAGGTTGCTGAAAACTCCGGCGTCACCCCTTTTAGGGCCCTGAGTTTCCATGGACCGAATTCCTTGCTTACACGCCAAATTTTACTCAACTGGCAAAAGACACTTACTGGAAAATTACTGGGAGAACCAGCACTGAACGGGACTGGACTGCACAACTGCCAACGGAATAACCGTTTTCGTCGGGACAGATTTAAATGGTTGTTCTTCACTTGCCATGTACAGATGAATTCGATTTTTGGGATCACGTTTTGGCCCTCCTAGAACCTTTCACGCGAGCTCTATAAACGGCCCTTTTTTGGCTGCACATGATACGCCTGTATGCGTTAGTATCCAACGGATCGGCTGATTCACACATTCATTGGCTTTCCGATTTGGCTAAGCGCATCAGGATATCAAGCGGCTATTCAGACTCGGGTTCACGGTATTAAGAAGAAATTAGGAAAACTGCGGTCCACAACAGTACGGCAGCGAAACACCGGTGTTGAACACTGATGTCATGCTGTCGATGATGATGATGATGGTGATGGTCCACAACAGAAATGAATTAGGTTTTAATGGAAAAGCCAACTGAATATCAGCTCAGTGGTTGGAGCGCGAACTTTTTGACAGGAATGTGCGTGGTTCAAACCCGGCCTCTGCCTCTCGACTTCCCTGTCTAGGCTTGGGCAACCTGGCAGTATCTGAGCTCTCGTGCCTTCTTTGGATGGTATTGCAGGTAGGCGCCGGAGGGATGCTACAGCCGAATCGTTTTCCTTTATACTAGGCTTTAACGGAATATACTAGATGAAAGTTGCCTCAGGTTTCAGTTGGCAGGATAGTCAAGACAGCAAAGTTTATTTTCTTGACATTATAAGAAAGTCGCCTCAGGTTTCAGTTGGAAGGATAGTTGAGACAGCAAAGTTTATTTTCTTGACATTATACTACAACACTAACACAGTGGCTGGAAACTCTTCGACAGTCCATAATGCAGCATACTCGGTAGGAAAAAAACAGTAAACGATAAACTACGGTGGGATTCATTCGAATCCCCATTCAACACCAGTCTACTTTGCAAATCGATGTATTGGAATGGTTGTTCTACCCTGTATAAAAAGAAATACCATATCACTGTGAGTGTTTTGGGTGTGTGTGCGCATGTGAAGAGTATGAATTTAATTATTTCGAGGCAATTTTGTAATTTCCACAAGTCAATGGTTCCGGCTATATTTCAAACAACTTTTCCAATTTTTTTTTAGGTGTTCAGTGTTGGTTTTGGAGCACTTCTTTTCAGTTATTCCTCCCAGGGGACATGGTACAGTATTGTCCAAGCAATCAGTCTCTGCTCAAACCTTGGGACAACGGTGGACTCACTCGTTGTTTCATTGACACACTTCATGACTCCATCTTGATTCTGGCGCTGGTCGTCTTCCTACTCCAAATATTCTACATCAAACGGTATGGGCACCGTATAACACAGTCTCGGTCCCTCTGGTTCAACCTGTCCATTGTGATGGGCTTCCTCATTCCCATCCTGGCGGTCATCCAATCTGTGCTGTTTGCGTTTTTCAATGTTGCAGAAAAACCTACGGCCGTGTATTTTCATGGATTTCTTATTTTCAACATTGTTGTAAGGCCAGCAGTTTGGTTGGTCTCTTTGGTTGTGCTCTATATGGACTGCGTGTACTTCCTAGCTTGTCCGCGGACTAAGCACAGTTATTCACTACTGTTCCTCTGGACGAGTTCGTTACTACTGCTTCTGTTGCCGATCGTCTCCGTTCGAAGTACCGATTGGTGGTGGCGCTTTAAGAGGTAAGTAATCCGTGACCAGAATTTGTCGTAGCGATAGATTACTTATCAAGATTTGTCCTCCGTAAGCTATGGAATATGATGGAATTCTGGTCTGTTCTACCAACTGTCATCATTTTAGCTGCTCAGTATAAGACAAAAGCAACGGAATGAACAGCGAAATTTGATGACGTCACAACCTGTCTTAGGGGAAAGTTATTAAAGATGGTTGGCGTGAAGCGTCACTCTATTATAAGTTTAAGCTTCACTTTGCTCACGAACAGTCTCTTTACACCCGGATGGATATAGTTCAGAAACTGAGAGCAGCCAATTTCGTAAAAAAATCGGAGTCATCATCATCATCATCGACAGCATGACATCAGTGTTCAACATCGATGCTCCACTGCCGTACAACCATGATTTCTTAAAAAGCCTTCTTGTGAAGAAATGAATAAAGGTGGACGGGGAAGGGACTTAGTCCTAGTTTACCACAATCATTCCAAGGTGCCCATACCTCCAGACACTCACTCAGGCGATCTGGATAGAAGCTGACAACAAGAACGCCACCGATATCGGTTGGCAGTCATATCTTGTAGTGTCTCCAACCAGGCACAGTGAGGATCACGCGGCCCCCATCCTGGAAGGCGAGTAGCACCGACAGCACCC